GACTCGACGGCACATAACAAGAACAACAACAGGAAACTCCCTTTCCACAGATTGGCTGTTCAAAGCATATACGTCTGCTCCCATCATTGGAAGAACCCACATCACAATTGCTTAAACCACACAGAATTGTGTGGTCCAGCAAAGTTGATACACAGCTCCAACTATCACGTCATGCCTCAGGAGTAACACAGAAATCCCAAAGTAAGAGGCAAGAGATGTCATTAGGTTGTGTGTACCACAAGTGACAAAAGACCATGGTGGCAATTGCTGCAGTGGACTCTAGTTTATAGTTGTGGTAGCAGCAGCAGCAACCAGGGATCTGGTTCCATGACCACAAGAGTGACATGAGCAGTTTGTTACTAGAACTGCTCTAGTCCAAAGTAAGGAGAGTACCTCAATCTAGCTTGCATTATGAGATAAATCCAGTGTATTGCTTCTGTTGTAAAGCACTTGGGCCTAGCCTGGCTAATAGAAAACAAGTAATAAAAATTTCCAGTGGTACAATTCTCACCTTCCATGAGGGAGACCCAGGTTCAGCTCCTTGCCAATGTACCTCATGTACAGCCACCACCTGTCTGTGGTGAGGTTTCACCAGACTTTCCAGATGAAAACAGACTAAGAAGAAAAGCCTGGTAATTTAAGCAATTGTAATGTGGGTTGTTCCAATGTATATGCTTTGAACAGCCAATCTGTGGAAAGGGAGTTTCCTACTTCCAGTATATTTATGGACATCCTGGAAAAAAATACACTCTTCTGTGGATCGGGATTCTGTTGTGCTGCCCGCAACTGTCCATGAGTGAACAATCCACCATTCAGCCTGGAGATCTTGGATTCGTCATTTTTTGGAGTCAATAGCCAGTATGCTCCCTGCTAACCATGAGCTTGTCAGCCCCTGCAGCTTCATGAGTCAGGAAAAACCTCTGGCTTGACTTTTGATCCAAGAACTTGGGACTAGCTAGGTTCTATAAGTGTGTGAGTTATTTTCCTAAGATAAATTTCTCTCTGTCTCTCTCTATATAAGCTTTGCTGGTTTTGCTTCTCTAGGGAACCCAGTCTAACACACATGAGATGCAGTTGGAAAGTCCTAGGTCCACTCTTATGGAACTGAAAAGTGCAGGAACATTAAAGCTTAAAGGGGTGACCTGTGATTAATAGGAGATAGGAGCAAATGGATAAATTCATCCCCTTCATAGTAGCTTCAAATCTTTTCTCTGAAGATGTCCTGTAAAATAAATAAATAAACTTGTCACACATCTCTATGTCACTCAGGAACTTGTTTTCTTAGTTTTTCCTCCTCTTGTCACTGCATTATTATTCTTTTCATTCACTTCTACTTCTCTAGAATTGCACTGTTTAATGAAGCATTTTCTGAGGAAACTGTGCTATAGCAGGCAGAAGTTGCAGATACAAGACAGAATATGTGCTTAAGAAAAGTACAAACAAAATAAAAGAATGCAGAAAGGTAGAGCTGGAGCAGGTGTGGAAGGATTTAAAGAAATGTATGAGCTGGAGTCTCTGAATAATGCAAACAGTTAATGCTCTTTTGGCTACTAACTGAAATGTTGGAGGTTCGAGTCCACCTAGAAGCTCCTTGAAAGAAAGGCCTAGTGATCTACTTCCAAAAAATCAGCCATTGAAAATCCTATGGAGAAATTCTGCTGTGACACACATGGATTGCCATAAGTCAGAGTCCTCAAGAGTTAGGTGCAAATGAACTGAGTCAATGGGGACATTTTTTTTTTTTTTTTTTTTAATGTATGACTTAGGCTATGTAATGAAGAGAACTACAATGTGTTCTTGAAATAAATAAATATATATAGTGATAATTGTGTTACTTATCATTTTCTTCTGAAACAATTTGAATTTTGTAGACATTATTGTAATTTTGTTTGAAATTGATGCTACTTTCTTAGTTCAGCAACACTGGCTCTAAACAGTTCTTGGCCTTTCTAGAAATTAAATTTGAGAAGCTTTGAAGAAACAAGATTTATAATCTTTTGAAAATATCTGTGTGGAATTCTAAAAGAGGATTTGAAAAGATGCTCTCAGCACTTTTAGAATAAATGAATCATTTTCCTAACTGATTTCAAAGGAGCAACAGATATTTTTAATATGAGATTATATATGTGTAATCTCAGGACAGAGTGAGCAGTGGCAGTGATCCAGGTAGGGGAGGGACCCAAGCCCCACCCTCACATGGCAGGAAAGAGGGGGAAAGGAAAGAAAAGCCAGGGGGACTAGGACAGAGTGAGTGGTTCCAGGGATCCAGGTAAGGTGAGGTTTCAAACAGCTAAGGGAGACAGACTTGTCTGTTGGTTTGTCGTACTGTGGTGGCATGTTGCTGTGAGGCTTGAGTCTGTGCCACTTGTGTTTCAAATGTCAGCAAAGTTTCACATAGTGCACAAGTTTCAGCGTGTCTTGCAGACTGAGACAGACTAGGAAGAAGGAAGAGGTCATCCACTTCTCAAAGAATTGGTTAGGGAAAACCTTAAGAATAGCAGAGAAATACTGGCTGTTACAATGCTGTGTAACTTTATGAATAGCCTGGAAACATTGTCTTATACAGTGCAAGAGGACAAGCCACTTAGGTCAGAAGGCTCTCAAAATATGACTGGAAAAGAGCTGCATCATCAAAGTAGAATCAACCTTAATGATATGGATAAAGTAAAGCTTTCAAAACCTCCACTTGCTGATTTTGCATGACTCAAATTGAGGAGAAACAGCTGCAAACATCCGTTAATAATTGGAACGTGGAATGTATGAAGTCTGAATCTAGGAAAATTGGAAGTTGTCAAAAATGTAATGGAAAACATAAAGATTGATATCCTAGGCTTTAGTGAGATGAAGTGGATTGGTTTTGGCCATTTTGAAGCAGACATCCATATGATCTACTATGCTGGGAATGACAAACTGAAGAGGAATAGTGTGGCATTCATCATCACAAAAGATGTTTCAAG